GTAAGGAAACAACTTCATTTAGAAAGCATGTCTCACTTAGGCCCATTATATATATATATATATATGTATATATATATATGTATATATTTCATTTTGAATGCAACAGGTGTTTTGGAGACAAACACCAACACCCCCGATTGCTCTGGCTTTGCGGTGCTCGGGTATACCTAGTGTCTTTGCAGCCCGAGCTGTGGCAGTTTGTAGCAGATGTGTGAGTTTAAGCCCCAGATTCTGCAAACATCTCCAAGATTTTCTCAGTCATGGAGATCTGGCATTGGGAGTGTCTCCTGTTTTCGGTTTATTAGCTGGAGCTCCATCCGCTTTTAGCTGCGGCTATAACAGGCCACTCATTGTGCACGTTCCGCAGGGAAAGGAAGAATGACTTAAAATGGCTAAAGCATTTGAACATCTTTTGCTTTTAAATAGCAAAGCCTGTTTTGGCAGGACTAACTTTACTCTGTTTCTTAGTATACTTTAAAAGGGCAAATGTAATTTGTTCTGGAGCTTTAAAGTAGCAAAATTTATTAGCGCGTAATACAGATTGGGCAACTAGTAGAAAACTAAAGGAAATGAAGTACATAAATGAAATGGTAAAGGAAGTTAGTGGCTGTGTGTTTTGTTTTCCTTTCTCATGTAGGGACTGTAATAAAAAGATGTCAGAATTTTTTTTGCAAGAGCATTGAAGAAAAAAATCTGTGTGAAGTATCTGCTTTGCCGCATTTGTCTGAGAACACAGCTTCTTCCAGGTAGCGTATTAAATATGACAGAGGCTTGTGAATGGTTACACTACTGAAAACATGAATTATGTAAGAATATAGTATTTTTCTTTCTCATTCATGCTCCAGAGCAGTGCATGCAGATATGCTGATCTCATAACTATTTCACTAGCAGCAGTAGCACAGCTAGCACCATCCAGATGCCAGAACTACAATATGAAATAAAAATCTGTCGAAATTAGAAGGTTTTTTGTTTTGTCCTTATATTCATTGACGTTACTGAACTTTGGGCAAGGCTCCACTTTGAACTTAGACATCTGTATTTAGTAAGAACACCAAGTACTGAAAAATAATGCTTGGGCAGCTGCTGTGCCTCCCCTTGGGGCTGCTGGTGGGTTGCACCACATTGGCCCCCGAGGCCTTGGCTGCTCACTTCACTCGTCTGCCCCTACCCCCTGCCTTTTGGTGTGAATCGTGCAGTTATTTGTGTACAATGGGGTTTTTTTTTTGTATATGTGTGTGTATATATATACACATATATATCCTGTCTCGTCTTAAGAGAATCCAAACAATTTGGAGACGGCAGGGCTGGCAATTGTACTTCCAGCCTTGCTGTATCCGTACTGCTTTCCTAGATGGCATTTTAAAAATATATAAATATATATATAGTCCTAGCCACCAGTATTTCTCAGTGCCTGGTTTTGCTGGTTGTTTGGCTGTGGTATCTGTAAGCAGCCAGGCAGCTTTGCCACAAACGCTGGAGCCGCTTATGCAGAAGAGTTCCTGCTCTACACACGGGAGGTAACGGGCTTTTCCTAAAGGCAATCCCTCTGGTGAGCTACATGCTTTTACTTTGTAATAGTCTCACATCAAAACTGTCTCTCTTCTTTATCTTGTAACTTCTGCTTCTTGAAAATGCTGTTTGCATGCTTGACTTTGAGAGAAACTTCAGGGACAATGTGTTGTGCTGAGGCAATGGGGAGTGGTCTGAAAGGCTGAAATATCTTTACATGTCTTCCTTACCAAGAGGCTTTCATTGACGGGGTGTAAGTAGGAACTTTATAAACATGACAGTTTTGCCCTTTTTATTGTGATAGAGAGCTGGCTTCATAATTGCTGGGGTTTAGGAGCATGCTTGGTGTAAGGATGAGAATCGTTCTATCCGCTTTTCCTTGGAATGACATAGCTGTTTGGAGAGGAAGGACTGGGATTCCCTGCCCTCGTGTAACACTGTGCTTCAATCCGTGTGCAAGCCCTGGGAACATGAGAAATGTCCTAGAGTACTGGAACTTGCTGAAAGACATGTTTTTATCTCTGCAAGGATGATGCGTGGTGTTTGCTCCCTCACTTAAATACGTGTTTAGTAACAAGTATGGAGTAATTTTACTCAAGGGCTGCTGTATAATTATATGACAAGTGTGGTTTCTAAAATAAGAGTGTTTCCACTGTTAGACTTTGATCTAGACTCACTGATAGTAAGAAGATGCTATATGATACAGCACAGTTGTGTAGGAGAGGCTTATATCTATAAAGAGGGGGTCATCTTTAGACCAGTTCTTCCAGAAAAGGTCCAGCCGTGGGGTCTGCTGCTATCTGACGTGCACAGACTTGCCCTCTCACTGGCAATTTGTGCTGAAGAAAGCAAGAGTTGGTTGTGTTGGTTGCTCTGGGGTCCTGAAACCCTCTAAATGGGAAGGTGTTGCTCTTTGTGGCAAGCTTGGCTTCAGTTCTTGCTGCTGGTAACACATTCCATGTGTTTATCTTTTCTTGAAAATTAAAGTATTTGACAGAATACAGTTCACCATCACTGCAGCTCAAATAATTGGTGATATTTTACCAGTTTTACAGTTAAGGTAGTCTGCCCCACCTCCCTGTCTTCTTATTCCACTTGACAAGCTGGAAACCATAGCATAGAGTTATAAAGCAAATTTCCTGAGGGCTTGTGGCACCTATAGTATGAAAACATGAACGATGGGTTGTGGGAGCTGCAAACTTGCATCCTCTCCAAAGCTCTCTCTGGCAATTGCCATCTTTGCAGCAGCAGCAGCTGGGCTTGGGGGGTGTGAATAATAGAAAGCCTCTCAGGAAACATCAGTCAAGGCTTGGGCTTTGCTCAGGTCTACCCTGAAAGCTCTAAGACTGAAGCTGTGGTTTAGCATTGCTTGGTCTTCCTTTCACTCTCAGGTCTTTGTGAAGTGGAAAGTGAAAAGAAGAAATGTGCTTGGATCAACCAGTGCTTCCTACAGTAATGGAGCTGTGGGTTGGAAGGGAGACTTGCTCAGACAAGACTCTTGAAAAATCCAACTTGTCAGTATGGGGCCTCTTATGCCCTCCCTCCCTTCTGCTCTCCTGTCGGTAGCCTCCTCCAGCTCCTGCCCTGCGCGCTGCTGTCCTGCCACCTCGCTGGAACCCATCCCATGTCCAGCAAGCCGTATCCGTGGCTCTGCTCTGGAGGTGCCAGCACTGGCTCCCTTTCAGGGCCAAGCAGCGCGTGGGGCTGCTGGCAGCTCCCTCTTGGGGCCATCGCGTCATTCTGATGTCTCCGTTGCTCAGAGTCTGCCCTGTATCACTTTTTCCAACATGCTGGGCACTTTGGAAAGAAAGGTCTTAGGTCTTGCTCAGCCAGAGCCAAAACGGGACTGCTTGGTTAATGTGACCTTCTTCTCGGGCCAGGCAGCCAAATGCGACGCAAATAGAACAGTTCCATTATGCAGATGACACGAATTTGGGTGAATTGGGAGGTTTTTGAGGACGTTTCCAGGAACTCTGGGTGGCACCTCCTCAAAACATTCCCGTCGGCGTGGCGAGCTCAGGAAGCGCCCTGTGCTCTCCATAAAAGGCTCCGTTTTGAAGCTTCTTCCTTCCGCCTCCATCCCCTCTGGCATCATTTGTTTACAAAAGGCCAGGCTGGAGCACTTGGCTTAATTGCTCCCAACTGGATATTTGGTTTGGGACATGGACTTGTATTCTGTTTGTTTGGGTTAGATGGCAAGTGGATGCATGGATTTCTCAGGAAAAGCAATTTCTCTGCCGTGAGCCAGTGCATTATTTTTGCAGAGCACCCAGCCTGTCCTGCCATGCCCACGCTCTTGTGCATCTCCCCAGGGGCCCCTGGGAGCTCCTGCCTGCAAAGGGAGCAAATGCCAAGTGAATTCTGCCTTGGGAGGCTTCAGGCTTCGCTGCGGAGGGCTGGCTGGCAGGGAGGGGCGCATGAGACGCAGAAAGCCAGCGCTTTTGGAGATGCCTCTCTCCTCCCTCGGGATGGAGTTGTGTCCATGTAGGTTTCTTAGCTTTTAAACAGCTTTCCCTGAGCTCTCTGATTTGCCCCGTGGGCTCCCTTCTATATCCTCTCTTTTCCTGCTTTAGACATACAGTTAGGCTCAACCCTGCTATTTATAACTTGGCGTGTTGGTGCCAAAAGTTTTATCTCCCTTTTCCAGGCTTAATAAAATCAAGCGACTTAGATTTGTTATTTGGTAACGTTGGCATTGGTGACTCTGGGAGCACGGGGAAGACAAATTAACGTGAGACAAAATTGCTATGGTGTTTGATCCTCCCAGGAATACGAGCGGAGCAAAGGATAAATAGCCGGTTGCTCGCTGGTGATGGAGTGTGCTCGCAATACCTGAAGTAAAGGTTAATCCATGTTGAGCCCCAGTTAATACTGAGCCCCCTTGACATTCCCAAATGATCCCAAGGCAGGTTTTTCTCGTATTAGAGTGTTTCTTGAAATAACTTGTTCGTCTGTGCCGGGCTGCGTGTGTTCAGCAGTTGTTGAACTTTATCTGCATAAGCACTTTATCTATACAAGCAGCATATCTACAGCTGGACTGGGAGGTTGCTGTAGTAACATTTCTCCCAGAAGCTGAGCATCCCAATACAGAGAGCTCTCGAAAGAGTGGGCTGCTCCAGAAAATGCTCCCTGGATTATCAGCACAGCTTAGAGGTGGTACTAACGGGAAGAGCTGGTCGACTAATGCACTTAGGCTGTGGAAGGGTTTTCTATTCTTGGTTTGTTGCTTTAAAAAAAAAATTAAAATATGGCCATTACATTATTTGATGGGAGGGTTTCTAGAAATCCCCCAGCCATCAATGTGCTGTTCTGTTGAATGGCTCTAGAAACATGAGGCTCATAAAACATCTTTTGTAATATGTCTTTTTAAATGGAATTTCTTGAAGCCTTTCGTGTGACTATTGCAGTGCCTAAGAACTTAGGGATGGAGAAGCAGGGAAGAGAAATCTATTTTTCAAGTGAGTAATGCCTTGCCGTGCTCTGTTTCAGTACATGTTACCATGGCGATGACTGCAGGGACGACAACATCCTTTCCCATGAGCAACCACACCCGGGAGAGAGTGACGGTGGCCAAGCTCACCCTGGAGAACTTCTACAGCAACCTCATCATCCAGCATGAGGAGCGAGAAACCAGGTAGCGCCTTGGCTCACTCTTGCCTCCATGCAGCTGTTCCACGCTGGCTTTTGCTGGCATTGCCTCAAGGACACGTTAGTCCCCTGGCACAGAGCGTTTCGTGGGCATCCTTCTTAGCTCAAAAGTGGAGAGCTCTGTGTCTGAGGACATGGACTGCCTTGGAGCTGTCATCCATGCTGATAAATCCACGAGCATCCCCTGGCTCTGGGGAGACTGACTCATCTCATCGAATTATCACCACTTCGTGGAGCCCACACTGTGCAGGGTCTTGTTTTGCAACATGTGGGAGGTTGCTGCTGCTGGGAAGAGCTTAGCAGCTGACCCCTTCATGCTGTGTCTCCCAGGAATAAGCCCCATGGAGGGGTCTTGCCCAATGGCTTGGGGTGTCTCCTCATGCTCTGCAGCACCATGCTCCAGCCAATGCCTCTGCAGATGGAAGTGTGTAAGAAATAGGGAGGAGGATCATCGTGGTGGAGCTCGATAGGATGGTACTGGTGGCAAAGAGAGAGGATGGGCCAGGGTGGAGGCAGGAGGCAGGAGAGGAAGCGATCTCAGTTGCGGTGGCTTTTGCTTGGCTCTTGAGTGGGCTGGTGGGCCTCAGGCGGCAGTATCGTGCCCAGCTCTACGTTACTCCAGCACTATGTTGCCTGACACCCCTCGTGTTGGGGCGCAGGTGGGATCATCATTTCAATTTCCGTGCCCTGCTCTGCCTCTGCTGCAGTGAAGTGCTACTGAATTAAGTGTGGGAGCACTGAGCATTTGATTATAATCAATGTTGTGTTGCGGAGTGTCATCAGCATAGGAAATTATCGTTCCCTTGGTAATATGTTTTTAATTGAGGGCTTTTCAGCCAAGCAGCGGGGTTTCCATCTCTTTGTTGCATTCTGTCATTATCCTGTGTAATGGAGCAGCTTGTTGTTAGGCGAATAGGCTGTCTAATAGGGGCCTTAATTTGAGGTATCCTGCAGTATTTCCTGAAGTGTGCAAAGACACAAACTGCCTGGTACTTGGGGTTCAAAATCTTAGCTGCCATTTACAGCCAAGCACCTTTCTGAAAGATGCAGCCTGAAGGTCAGAAGGAGGCAGCTCAAGAGTAGAAAAAGAGGTTTGGTAGAAACGGGCTCCCATAAGACATAAAAATTCCTAGGGTGATGGTAACTCTGTGATTGGGCTTCTAATGCCTAAATCTGTAAGCATGTGCTTAAATGTGTCCAGAAAGCATGTGCTTCAAATTTGTTTATGCATTTTCAACAGGTTTGGTCATAAATGAGTAAAAGCATGAAGTGAGTGATAGGTTTTCAGATGTGCCATTTGAGGCAAGCTCTTTGGTATCTGGTATCTGTGTTGTCTTGCCTATAATCCTGTATTTGTTTTTAATTAAAAAAGTGAATCAATTGTGTCTCTTCTTTGCAGGCAGAAGAAGCTTGAGGTGGCAATGGAAGAGGAGGGCTTAGCAGATGAGGAGGTAACACGTAATATTTGAGCAGATTGCTTTGCTAAAAGTTGCTCAAACTGACGTTTGATGAGTTAACCTTTAACATTACCTCACATGACATTAAGTTTTTATCTTGTAAATGAAGTTTAAAATTGCTTAGCTTTTGATTTGGCACAGAGAGGAGAAAAGGATGAGATGCACATGGAAGAAGTGGGTAGAAAACAAAACGCTGAACCAGTTTTCTCATGTACCCCTGCTCCATTCAGATATGGGCTTGAAGGGAGCTCTTCCCAATTGGCATCTGTCAGAATTTTGCTCGGTAAATTCCTTTTCTGAGGTCCATCCCAGCGCTGCTGCCTGTACTGCCTTCAGCACAGGCACTGAAATAAACAGAAACTAACTGTCCCAGGCAATTCTTAAGTTTGATGCAACTTCTGGGACAGGTGAAAGGCGAATGTGGGTGCATACTGCCATCTCGTGGCTTTAAATGGCATTATCATCCCAGTACTCAATCCGGTAGGCTGGTGGATGTGGTTAGCAGCCTCTGCCATCTCCTTGGCAGGTTTGGGAGCACACTTAAGTGCTTATCTTCTCTGAGAACTGACAAAATAAATGAATAATTGGGACCTTTGTAGAAAACACTGTGCTCCTGACTCAGATTTGGAGAATTTCAAACAAATTTCTCTATCGCATGTTCTCTATAATTCTAACGGGTGGGAGAATACTTTGCAGAAAGGGAGATGATATATCTCGGCTTTCTACTACCACATGACTTATCAGTGCCCATGTAATATGTTTTGTTAGAAAAAACTGCGCAGGTCACAACATGCCCGCAAAGAAACTGAGTTTCTGCGACTGAAGAGGACAAGGCTCGGCTTGGATGACTTCGAGTCTTTGAAAGTTATTGGAAGAGGAGCATTTGGGGAGGTTTGTGCATTTCTTGCTTGATCAGGATATTAAAAATGTGTCAAATGTTATTCTATAATTAAAATGGTTAATTTTAACAAGTTCCAACTTGGTGGTTTTATTGCAGAAGAATAGCTGTTTTAGTGAGTCTGTAAGTGTGGGTAAGACCATTAATGGACTACAGGCACAGATTTATCAAGAGCTATCAAAGAGCCTTGCTTTCCTGCAGTCCTTTCTATTAGTCCCAGCCAATGTTGTCCATGCTGCCTCCGGAAGTGCCGCCACCGCAAGCTTTACTGTCAATTTTGTTATATAGTCAATATTATATTGTCTAACTAGCATTAGAATGGCAGCACTGTATATGGTGTATAGAAATATGTGCTATAACAGATTTCTTTATCCATGTGTTTTTGAATGTGTAATAAAAGAACCTTTCTATGCCCTACAATTCAAGCCTTCCAGCATATAGCTCTGTGGGGTCTAGTTTATGAGGTATATAGGATTGATTGGGTTGTATTTTCCGTTATAGGTACGTCTTGTTCAGAAGAAGGATACAGGCCATATTTATGCAATGAAGATACTAAGAAAAGCAGATATGCTGGAAAAAGAGCAGGTTTGTGTTACATAAGACTCTTGAATTTCCGAGTTACTCTGTTTAGAGAATTGACAGTTGCTGAAGTTCTTTGTGCCAGATACTATTTGTATTTCCCACTCCTACTCTGTGCAGCCCTAATAGTGGCATTGTAGTACAAGGCCTTTATGGAGGTGCCACCACAGTAGAAAAGTGGAAGTTAGGAAATAAGGTCACATAGTAGAATTTGTGAAAATGTTTAATTTGCAACTGATTTGGAACATTAACAAAGGATCTATTTTTTTCCCTCTCCTCCTTTATCATTGCAGATTTTTTAGTGCTTAATCCCTAATTTTGCATTTCATGAAAAATTGTACCATGCCAAAGTCAAATCAGAGAGAGTACTTAATGTTTTCTTTGTGTGGTCAGATAGCAACAGATGTTATGTTGTCCATTGTTCAGCTTTGTTTTGCATTCCTTTTGCCTTCTAGTCAGGCTTTGTGTCTCTTCTGTTCTGCTTTTCAGTCAACAATTCACTGCAAATTCCCCATAGGATGAGGCAAATACTTTAGTACCACAAAGCAAAGAGTTCAAGTGCAGATGTTCCAAGGAAAAGCTAACGAGAACTTCCATCTGCCCTACCTGTCCTAACACCATCATTAACTCTGTTATGGCATCCCACTCTTCTTTTTTTCCTAGTGCAGCCTTCTTGGCTTCTCAGACCTGTATACTGGACATAGAGAACCACAGAGAAGCAGCATATTTTGCACAGCAGCCAGGATGTGCGTGGATGCAAATAAAAGAAAATTAAGACTTTCAGGTGTAATGGCATTGGGAAATGTCCTGGTGTTTTGTTTTTTTTTAAGCAAGGTTTTAATTTAGGTTGTTGCTATATGCAGAAAGTGTAAGGAGTGAAAAGAAACATTTTCTAATGAGAATATATGGAATAGACAGAGCCAATGAGCTGGGAGCTCCTACTACGGGGAGGGAACTCAGGGCAATATGAAGTGGACACACATTTACCGTAGTGCTGCTCTTGGCTAGTAGAACTGAGGGTAAAGTGAAGGAGACTCTTCATTCGCTATTTGCTGGAAATGTGATTTTTTTTTTTTTTCTTCCCATACAAACACAGTCATTTCAAGAGTATCACACAGACGTGTGTGATAGAGAAACATCTTTTCTGGATGAGAACCTAAAGACTTCCCACTTAGTGCACACATTCCAGGCTCTTCTGCTGCATGCTTTCCGCTCCCTGTGAGAGCGGCCAAACTAACACTTGCAGTAGAAAGCAGCAAAATGAGCATTAGCAGAGGACAAAGTTCTTCCTCCTCTTCCCTTCTCTGCCTTAGTCCCCCACAAAAAACAACCCAACAAACAAACAAAAAATTGATTTTAAAAGCACACAGTTGACCTGCTTTACCTATGGCAGGATGCAGTAACATGCCAGCATCTCCTGGGACTGGTCCTATTTCAATGGTGGCTTCAAGAAAAAGTTGCAGAGCATTCCTTAATGTGGTTTTGGTGCAAGTGTGTTAATAGTTTTCAAAGACACAGCTGGGATTTGAATATTCTGAGCAAGGTCAGAGGTTTCCAGATTTGCTTGCCCAGGCCCAACATGAGCAGCAGAGCTCATGAGCTCTGGGCCAGGTCCCTGTTCCTCACTTGGAGAAATGGCTCAGTCTGCTCTGCTTCCTTTCCCCTGTCTCCAGCCTAAGACTCTTCTCACTTCTTGCCTATTTCTTTGTATACTTATATAAGAAATCTGTTGATTATGTAATAATGTCATCTACATTTAAGTACTTGAATTGTCCTTTAATAACAGTATTTAAACCAAATCCATGTTTAGGTGGCCCACATCAGAGCAGAAAGAGATATTCTGGTTGAAGCAGATGGAGCCTGGGTAGTGAAAATGTTTTACAGTTTTCAGGATAAAAGAAATCTCTATCTGATCATGGAGTTCTTACCTGGAGGTAAGTTCTACATTGTGTTACTAAGTGATAGAAGTACTTCTTCCTGTTGTCAACTTCATAAAAATGGTAGAAACATGCATGCTGTGAAATTTATGATAATAGAAAGTTTTAATGCTGTTTTAAGTGTAGTGACAGTAATATAACTGGTCCTGATCTTAAGAGAAGGGCAGGGGTTGAGGCCAATGTTAATATAATTGCAGACTTGGATTAAATAATTCTTTTAGACTTGTGCTAGATAATTCCTCTAGTCCAACGCTTCACTTTTTTTTTTTTCTGATGAATTTAGTGACAGTAATAAAAAAGATAGCTCCCGCTGAAAGAACTTATCTGTGCAACGGATACGTTAAAACTTTCTTTGGGGGAAAAGTATCTCACTGGGCTATCCAATTAAAAATCATATTTAGAATTTTTAACAGGGTTATGTGCAGTTTACTAAAAATATGTTGGGTTTGTAGGTCTTTGAAATAGTGGTTTTATAATTAGTAGCTACAAAGTCAGTTATAAGGTTAAATTTGAAATCTCTTGAGATTTCTCGTGGGACTAGCCTTGTGATTGAAATGCTCTGATTTCTGTGCTGTATTTTCTGCTCTTTGGTTAGGTGACATGATGACCTTACTAATGAAGAAAGATACTTTATCAGAAGAGGAGACACAGTTTTACATCTCTGAAACCGTGTTGGCCATAGATGCTATTCACCAGCTGGGATTCATTCACAGAGATATTAAGCCAGACAATCTTTTGCTGGATGCTAAGGCATGTAAATATGCATGTAAACTGCCTAGGTTTTGAGCAGCTCTGCAGATAATGTCATTTATAGCTGTGGGAGTTGGGAGTGATTCCTTGAAACAGTGGTGTCACCCCAGTCACTTGAACTCTCTGTAGTAAAGGCAGAAAATGGTCACGACATGTTTTGTGTAGAATATCTATATGCTTAACAAAGCAAAACTACCCTTTTTGTGCCTTTGTTGGAAAGGCTTTTGAGCATGAAAACGCCCACTTAAGACTGCCCGTGTGCTTGAATTCATACACATTAAAAATTGATATTTGTGAGTTAATTCAAGAAGTGCGAAAGCCTGAAGCATTCAGACTGTGCTACTGTCTGAGTGATCATTTCAACTCCTGCAGTTACCTCATTTGTTCTATTACCTGCTTGCTGGTGGGAACAGTCCTCAGGTGGACCCAGCAAGCATCCTATGCAGGCCTGTAGACTATCTGGCGCTGGCGTCTGCACGTGTGGTTAAAAACAGATTGCTATCAAAACAGAGCAACAGCAATTTCTGCTGGAGGCTTCTGAGTCTGAGTTCTCTCTGAGTGGTGTCCACTTCAAAACAGAGCCAGGCAAACTGGCTGCCCACAGCTGTTGCGGAGCTGTTGGCTCTGGTCATTCCCGGTAGGCAACACTATAACCCCTTGGAAAGAAAACACGCCCTCCTGGTGCGTCTAGATTCAGTCCTTATTTGCTTGCCTTGCACTAGACAGTCTGGTGCAAGTCCATCGCATGCAAACAACTTTCTTTCTCAATCATTACTATATCTATATATTTTTTTAATCTCCTTTTTTTTTTTAGGGTCATGTAAAACTCTTTGATTTTGGACTATGCACAGGTTTAAAAAAAGCTCACAGAACTGAGTTCTACAGGAACCTTACACACAACCCACCAAGTGACTTCTGTAAGTATATGATGTTCTAGTTAAATGTTTAAATAGCTTTGAGCTGCAGCCATACCACATCATAATTGAGTTCTGCTGGATTAAGCAGCATTGCTCAGGCTGATTGCACTTAGTTGGAAAACCTGTTTGCAGAACATGGAAGTATTTCACAGGAAAGACACCATAACTTCAATAGGTTTTTCATTTCTTCTTCCCTTTCAATATGTTTTAATATGTATGTATATTTAATGCATATTTCATCACTGAAGTCAGTGATGATCTCATTAGCCTTTTCATAAGAGTAAAGTTGTTCATGTATATGCCTCAATCATGTTTCCACATTAGTGTTTTATTCTACAAAAGAAAACTACTTCTGTAGTTCTGCTTGGATTCTGCATATGCTGTTTAAAATACACTGCAATTCTCTGAATCATACCTGAATATAAACTACCAGATTAATCTGCAGAGCCTTCATAAAGTTCTAATTATAATAGCTGCTGAAGTATCCTACCTGTGTGATGCTCAACTTGGTGTTGGGCAGTAGTTATTCATTGCCCTTTTCCACTCTCCAGTTATAATCAAGAATTTGTTTCTAGAAGAAAGCATTTTAAAGAGGCAAAATGGTCATTCATTGAATACAGTGTGCTGTCAAACTTTTACTTCTCACGAAGGCATCTAATACCTACTAATTATTTTCTAAATTAGCATTTCAAAATATGAACTCAAAAAGAAAAGCAGAAACGTGGAAGAAAAACAGGCGACAGTTGGTGAGTCAATAAAATTAAATATATATATATTTTTTTTTTTCTCTCTGAAACTATATAAAGAAGAACATAAAGACTGGACATTAATGCTAATAGTTTGTAACAGGATGGCCGTAGTTGCAGAGCTGACAAACTGTAACTGGCATTAAGTGAGTGGACATAAGATAAAGTCAGTCCATTGCCCTGAATTTCAGCCAAGCCAATAACTTTCTCTGAGTAGCAGTCCCAAAGCCCTAAATCTGCAAATCTTTGAATTTCTTATTTTGGTCTCTCTATCTAGGAAGTGATATGCTGCACTATTTCTGAAATGCTTTTGAGTTGTTCTTGGCTTCATTCTGAGACAGACTGAGATTACACTGCAGTCATGTTGCCTCGTAGTTCAGGCCCTTTCTCCTGCACTTGTGTCCCTGGAAAGAGGAAATCTCAAAATTTAGTACAGACTGACCTGGCAGAGCTATGTGGTGAAGCTAGATGTATCATCACGCAGTCCAGCAAAGAGGGGACAAGGTTAAAGTAACTACTTGTTTCAAAAGTAATTCATAAAAGAATTATTATCTTGGTTTTTAACTGATTCGGAACTAAATGTTCTATTCAGCCAAATTAAATATTTTATTCTTGGTCAAACAAATGACAGCAAAATATTCAATTTCCAAAGTAAAAGTCAGATTTTTTTTTTCTGGGGGAAGGGGTTGGCTTGTTTATTAGGGGGACTGTCTGTGCTCGTCCATGTTTTTTTTTTTTTTAAGTTATTGAGATTTTAGATATTGTGAATTACCAAAGTAGGCATTCTCATCCATCCAAACAACAAGATATTGTATATGAATCCCCAGGAAAATTATTTCCAAAGTCTAAAAAACTAATAATTATTTTAAAGTGTTTACTTTTTTTTTTTTCCCTCCTCCCCAGGCATATTCTACTGTTGGCACTCCAGACTACATTGCCCCAGAAGTATTTATGCAGACAGGGTATAACAAGCTATGCGACTGGTGGTCTTTGGGAGTGATCATGTACGAAATGCTAATAGGTACGTCAGAAACCCCAACTCAAGGTTCCTTCAGAGGGTAGCAGGACACGTTAGATCATCTACTCTGATCCCCACTACAGTGCAGGCCTTAGCATTTCATTCACTTCTTCCTGAAGTGAGCCCCAAACGCCGTTTCCAGAAGACTCTAGAGTCTACCCCAATCTTTCTAAGAAGATGGTAAGAGATGAGGAGGCCTCAGTAAAATGTCCGCGTGAATAACTGCTCGCTATCAAATGTTTCAAGGTTCAGTCTCATTGCCTGGAAATAGCAAAACAACCTTTACATTCTAAAAGAAAATTTTGGTTAGGTCTACTTTTTAGATTCAGAAGCTATGGTGGCAAAAGCAGAGGACCAGGCTACTTTCCTACTGTGGGAAAAACATGTTGATTTTTTTTTTTCTTTGTGCATGCAGGGTATCCACCTTTCTGCTCAGAAACACCACAAGAAACCTACAGGAAAGTTATGAACTGGAAAGAAACGTTGGTATTTCCTCCAGAGGTGCCCATTTCAGAGAAATCAAAGGATTTAATTCTAAGGTCGGTAACAGAAGCCCACACAGAGCCAGAGTCATCTTCCACAAGGATAACTTTCAATCCTGCGGAGAGGAAGCTTTGGACTAGGAGAAGGGGTTGGCTTCTTATTGCATCTCACCATCCCCAGTCAATCTTTCCATCCTTTTCTCTTTGCTTTTTGTTTAGGATGAGGGAATAAATTTACAGCTCTTAACTTGCACTACTGTATCAGGAAAAAAAAAACAGAGCAGCCTGGAAAGAAAATAACAATTAAAACACAGCTTTTTTAGTTCTTGAAGAGGGAACTAAAAAAGTGACCACTCACCAGTATTCAGTGCATGGAACAGAAATTTTTGGACATATTACATAAAGTCTAATTTTCAAAGTCATGATTTGTCTGCATTAAAGTTTCCTGAGGCTTTTTGGTTTCAGGCAGAAATGCTATCTTGCCATGAGAGGTTGTTGTGGTCAAGGAGTTGACTTTGATATTTTTCAAAGACAGAATTACAAACTCATATGAATTTGTTATGGGCAAAAAGGGAATGTGCTTGGGACAGAGCTAAAAACTAAAATATATTGTTAGTCCAGGCAGTGTTCCAGCAGCATGCAACAAGCACAACAAATGCAACAAACAGTTATTCTTATAGCAAACAGGTACAGTGACACTAGCTCTTACAATCCAAGTTGCTAGTCCAACTGTTACTAGTTCTGATTAATAACATAATAAAATTGTTGCACACAAACCTCTTACTATCTATTTCTCTAGCGTTTGGCTCACATTGTCTATATGTTGTCAGCACCCTGAGTTCTTCACTGAAAGTCCAGGGTTGCTGCTGAGGGTTTCTTCTTCCTTGGTCTTAGGTCTGCTTGAGGCATGTTTATATATTTCAAATAACGTATTTTTAACATGCCTTGCTGATTGGCTTGCAAATTTAGTTATACAATGATTGCTTGTATTATTTCATTTATTGTACAGCCATACAATTACATAAAACAGAATAAAGAACATCTTTAGTCAGACAACTTGGGAGGGAGCATAAAACAGAATAAAGAACTTAAGCTAAAAGCATCTTTAGTCAGACAACTTGGGAGGGAAAAAAAGGCCAAAGCTGCAGGTTAGACAACTTGCCCATTGGGTCCTTTCACTTTTTAGCTAGGACACATTGAGTAATGGCCATCTGAGCCTAAAGTGAGTTACAGACAAAGCCAGAAAAAACTAAAATAAGTTCAAGATCAGTTATTTCCCAAGTGTGACTCAACTACAGGCATGAGAACATTGCTGGTAACAACTGAGGAGAGTTTGTAACCTCACTTGCTGTATTACTGAAATGTCTCCTGGAAACTCTGCTAGTTGGCAAATGATGACCTTTTTTTACACTGGAGGGTATTTGGTGGGAAGAGTGACTTGCAAATATGGATGATGTGATCATGTGGACAGGCTGTATAGGTTCAGGATCACTAAGTAAACATAGGCTTTTGCTCATTTTGGCCAAAAGCAAGTATTTAATTTCATAAAGATCAGGTGCCTTTTAGAGCAACAGGAGGCCTAAAAGAACGTGCTCAGCAGGAGGGTCTGAAAAGTCACCACTCCAAACTCGCCTTGCTCAGTCAGCAGAGAAGCAACTTCTCATAACGTTTGATGACAGGAATGAAGCAGTTTAGATAAAATGCAAGTTACTGTCATCAAGGCCTTCTGTTTGGGGGCATTGATAATATCCTCCTTCCAATATTTCTCTCTTCTCCTAGCTGCAATATGCTGCAATATGCTGCAATATGCTGCTTTTATGCTACACAAGCAATGGAACTTTTCTTCAAAATGCCACCAATTCCTGATACAGGATACCATGGCAGTTTTGTTTACTCTTGTTTCTGTTTACCTTATTATAATATTTTCCTCATTTCTTTCTTTTTCAGGTTTTGCACCGACTCAGAAAATAGAATCGGTAGTAATGGAGTAGAGGAAATAAAAAGTCATCCATTCTTTGAAGGAGTGGACTGGGGACATATCAGGTATATATCCATTTTATATAAAGAATGAAACCCATGAAGGCAAGGATCTCCTGCAGTGTGATGGCAAGAATAATCCTTCCCAGTTTATCTTTTATGTTAAAAGGCAGCTGCCACCAATTAGTGGGTGGGAGCCAAGGTTGTCAGGCCTTGCTGACGTCCATAGATCCAATCAGAGTTTCGCCAGCTTGAAATGCCTCTGACTAGCCCCGAATGCTTGGGATGGAGAGAAATTGTGGTAGGGTGGCTCTGGCATTGCTGACTTGCATTCTGGTATCATCAGACAGCTCCTGTTCCAGTGGGAACAGGCTTTGCAGCTACTCCCCTATCTGACTTCATTAAAACAGGGACAAGGCAAATTGTATCCTCAAGATTCAGGGGAAATGGAGGAGTTAGAAGGCAAGGCTGCAGGCAGGAGCAAAGCGCAGGACATGCAGGTGCTGCGCCCAAGTGAAGTGGTGCTTGTGCAGAGCACGGGGCTGAGGCACCGAGTCCCCTTTGTGGCCAGGTCTGAGGCAGAGGCACCAGTTTCTAGCCTGAATTGGGATATGCAAGGTCTTCAAGCCACATTTGTGTGTTTCAAAGTGGTGATACCTCAAAAAGCAGGCTTTGGGAGGCATTTTCATTTCAAATAATAGCTACTAGTCAATCAAAGTTGTGCCATTTCAGTAATATGGCACTTTTGTTCGTGAAAATCCGTAGTGTGGACTTGGGATTACCTTGTCCCACCTCTGCTCTTGCTTCTGGTGCAGGAAGCCTCATGCAACTTCTCCTTCAGTGTAGGTGACACTAGTGAGCAGCAAGTGCGGTAGCTGCTCACACCACAGTTGGCAACCTGTCAAAGAAGCTTCCCCACCTCCACCCAGAGGTGGATTTAATTGCAACTGTAATAATTACAGCCCTAATAACCTTACATGTGCAGACTAATAATGTTCCCGCGGTGCTATGTTGAAAATGCTGTCAAGGTGCAGATCACTTGAGTAGCTGTTAACCCTCCAGCTTCAAACTTTTGAAAGGCCTTGCCTGATTCTTGAACTAACACAGCAGCAGCAAAGTGTCAGGATCGACTCATTTGGGATGAGTTGCTGGCAGCCTAGACCAGAAACAGGAGCTGTGGTGGAGCAGTAGCTGGAGCAGTTCCAGGCTGAGGAGTTTGTAAAGCAAAATGTCTGGAGACTCCAAAGGGGAGCAAAATCCTGCTCAGCTGGGTAGGCTGGGTCTGTGAAATGAGGGTAACCACAGTGGTTCCTGGTCACAGCAGTGATCACAGTGATAGCTATGTGGTGAATTGATGTGGAATGCAGTTTCAGCTAGTGGAAAAGCATGTTTTCCCCAAGAGTGCCAGGGAAATGCTCATGCTGGAAGACCGATAAATCTGTCCATGATGTTGGAAAATACACAAGTCAATATCGTTGTAAAGGACTCAGCAGACCCTTGTGTTTGGAATAAAAGGGATGTTGTGATTAAAAAAAGCTAAATTAAACAAAACTGGAACTTTGTGCCTCTCTTCCTAATATTCTCTCTTTTTGTATTTATTTCTGTGTGTA